ATATCAACACCATGCATTTTCGCGCTACTTACTGGTAAAAATGAGCAAATTTATACAGATTTATTTACAGTTATTTTTAAGAAAATGTTCGAATTCAGGTTACCTATTAGATTAAGAACAACTACGATTGATTTTAAGCTAGCTGTTAATAATGTGTTTACTAAAAATTATCCTACTGTTATTGTACGAGGTTGTTTATTTCATTATGGACAAAGTGTATTTCGTAAATTTGTTGATCTTGGTCTAAAAACAGCTTATAAAATGATGAAAATCTCCGCGAATGGTTTCGATCCTTTGCAGCATTATCTTTATTACCATTGAATCATATGCTATAGGGTTTACAATGTTTAATTCATACTCGACCTGTATATCCAGGCATTGAGGAATTTCTTAACTATTTTCATAATACATATGGACCTTTAAGTAAATTCCTACCGCATATGTGCAACCATTATCGTAATATTTTACCGCGCACTACTAATTATTTGGAGGGTCGTCATTCACGATTGAAGAAGCATGTAAATGCTCCGCATCCCAATATTTATGTTGCAATTGGTTTATTGCAAAAAAAACAATCGTTAGCATCTATTTCAAGATTACGAGATAATATGGGAGCTCCATCTCCAAAGCGTCGAAAAAATAAAGTTATAATAGATGAATGTTTAATTAAATTATGGCAGCGTTATGATGAAGGTCGTCTCGATATTCCATCATTCTTAAAAGCTGCTGGACCTAGATATTTTCAGCGTCCACCAAAAAGTTGAACGTCCATTCATCTTTTTTGGTTTATTTATTAATCAATTCCTTGTTCTCTTTGTTATTTCCTCATATATTTGTTTGAATTCTTTTTTTTTTCTAAATATACATAGTTGATTGTGATAAATATATTTCTGTTCATTTCTATTCTTCGAGACAATCAACGGACAGTAAATCCTCAAACGAGAAAAACGCTAATTGATAAAAAAAAGTTATTCAATCAATGGACAGTAAACTCTCAGCAGCAAAAATTATACTTTCTGTAGAAAAAAAAACAATTTTCTAAGAAAAACAATCAATGGACAGTAAATCCGTGGACAGTAAATCCTGCAAACCCTATGAAAAGTAATAAAGTGGCAATATTTTCAAGAATATATTGCTTTAAGGTGAGGTTTTTGCGAGATTCTACATAAGACAATTTCGAGTAATTCTGACCGCCGGAATAGGTGAGAAAAGTTATTCTTATGTTGTCAAGTTACAGGTTATGGAAAATTCGTGGATTCGTTTTTTTATCAGCAAATATCTATTAGAGGAAAATTACAATTTTCTAATAAAATTTAGTCAAAGGCTTACGAGGCTCAGAAATCCGAAAATTAAGTATATAATGTCAAGAATCCGATTATACTTTTAGATGCGGTGGCCAATATCCTTCCTATGATAAACTCAAAACTCTCGGTTAAATGAGAACGGATAACTTTTCCGTTGCTGGGTAATCAGTGAGATAATGTGATTGTAATGCTACTAGGAATGAAACTCTAATTAGTAATATAATGAATGAAACTGACCAATGATTTGTTGTTAATTGAGACCATTTGTTTGTTTTTCTAGTTCTTCTTTTATAATCAATAATTCTTGATTAAGTTCATTGATTGTATTTATGTGAGATAGTTGGACTGTTTCTAGATTTATTTCTGATTCTAGAGTGAAGAAACTCTATAAAAAAAGAAAAACTAAAAATAAATAAACCTGATTCAAGTTTATTATTTGTTTTTTGTAATATTTCATATTGTTGATTAAAGTCTTCTCGATTTTCAATCATTTGATTAATAATAAGTTGAACTATTTGATCAAATGAAAGATTTTCATTTAATATAAAATAATCATGGTGTTTCTTTGTAAAACTATTACGTTGAGCTTGTTAAAACAGTTGCCATGCATGGTTAGCTTCGTCAAGTTCAACATATTTATTAGAAAGAGTAAGAATATTTTCTCGAAGTTGATAAAGTTCTTCATCATTTTTATCGATAGATGAAGATGCTGATTGAACAGATACAAGATTATGACTAGATCCTTCTTCAGATGGTGTTATATGTATTTGTTTTGTTGAATCGAATGATAATAGTTCGGAATGTTTATCTTGTTTTTGAACAAAATCAGTAGATTCATGTTGATTGAAATTTGATCAAGTGATAAATGATTATCAATGAATAAAATATGTTGAAATTTATTTCGAAAATTATCAAGTTGAGTTTGTTGAAATTGTTGCCATGCACGATTAGCTTCATCCAATTGAGCATATTGAGTTGTTAATATTACGATATGTTCCTGTAATTGTCGAAGTTCATCATCACGTTGATTTTCAATTGATTTGATATTATTATCACCGGTTTGTTTCGTACTTATTTCTAAATAAAAAGAAATGTTATGAATAGGTTTTTTGATATCATAAAACCAACGTTCTAATTCAATGACTCG